CTTTGTTGGTGGCTTTCCACACCTTCTCTTACTCCTTTAAGGCTACCTCAAGCTTCTCAGCCCCGACCTTAAAGTCAGTAATTGACCGAGATATGTGGTCAGAAACTTGAACACGAACGACATTAGTAAGGATGAAACCAGAAAAACCCGGATCAGAGTTCGAGAAGTACTTACTGCTTGAGAAAAAGAGACCAGCTTCCTGAGTACTTCCTCGACTTTAAGGTTTTCCAGGCTCAGATCTGTGACCTCAGTGTTTTTTCACTTCGAGTAACCTAGGGTCTTAACGGTGAGATCGATATGAGCCCTCTTCGGAGGAAGAAAGGAGGTCGTTTTTTTTCCTTATTAAACACTCTCAAGCCACTGGACATGTCATCTTCTATATCAGAGAGGCCAAATCGAGCACTGGAGCGAGTAGCTTTGGATCTTGTATGTTACTGAGGATTCCCATTAGTTCAGGATCCCAAAAATAAAGCAGATAATAAGAAGAAACCACGATCCTTAACGGTGGCCATTAAAGTGGTGGTGGAAGAGCCTTCATGGAGAGTAGAGTGTTCGAGCTTGAAAGATCTATCAGCTGCAGATAGAGTGAGAAAGTTTGCAACCTTCTTTTTAGTATCCTCAACGGCAACAACAATCTCTTCAAACTTGAACCCTATGTCACAATAAACAAAATAAGAAAGTGAATTCGAGGATCCTTCTAAGTAACAAATAAATCATACCCTTCTTGACCCGGGCCTTTGGCAGGAGATCCCCGTCGGGAATAGAGTCATGCCTCACAAAAAAGTACTTTTCTTTCCAAGCTTCGTTATTGTGTTTTGATTTTAGAATGAGAGGGGGTTTGTTGGGTTTAAGCTTGAGCAAAAAAACGGGAGTTCGCAAAGTATAGAGATCATAAACGTGATACAGTTCAGTGACGCATATACCTAGACCATTGGATTCGTTCAACTAATTGATCTGGAACAAGATCCTCCAAATGACAGGCATGGCTTGGATGTATGAGATTTTTGTTGTTTCAAAAAACTCAGAGATGATTCCAGAAAATGGGTATTTAAAACCCAGAGAAAATGGGTATTCAGGAAAGCATACCCAAGATGAAGAAACAAAATTTGGCTAAATTGAAGCGTCATAAGACCTAAAATCGTATTTATAGGAAAAGCCCCATTGGCTTTTAGGAATCTGATATCCTCATCGTCAAAGTAACAAGTCTTACTATAGGTGAGGAGCTTTTGATCAATGAAGTTATTTTCAGAAGGAGCAATGATACTAGTGCGATAGCAAACAATCTTTACCCATGGTAGAAAAAACTAAAGAGAAGGAAAAAGAACGATACTTTCGGAGATAATCGATGACGATCAGAGGAAAACAAGAACAAGTGAAGGGGGAACCTCTCCCTATTTACCCCTATTTATGTAAGTAATAGGAGATAGATGATTAATTTGACCGTGCCATCATGAAGGTTAAACAGATAAAATTCTATCCGTTAGGGATTTAATTTCAAAAACCTTATCTCTATTTAAATGAAATTATACCTTTAAATAGTCAAGGATTAACTTAACTATTTTGCTGGTATAATTTAGGGGCAATTGTTAGGGCTAAGATCCTCAACCCTATTCAGGATCCCGAATGTACAAGAACTCTCAGGATCCCAAACCTGCCTCAAGATCCTAACCAATACCATTATTATTATTTCCTAACATTTCTAACGGATATATTTCTAGTCTTTTTCTCACATGTGCAGAATTGGTTAACATAAGACTCACTATTAACGAAGAAACTTTTTAATCATGCAAAAGACCTGCAAATACAATGTCAAACCAACGTGTTCATTTATATTTGAGAGGATCCTAGAAATATCAGACTTATTGTTACTTACACTACACTATAAATACACATGTACTCCGCACACTACACACCTAGACTCACTTTAATACATGTACTTATTTACTTACTTTCATTTTTGTAATCCATCTTTCAATAAATACAAATAAACAAGACAGATGGTCATTATCACCTCCCAAGGTTTTGTGTCTGAGATCCTAGCAAGGATCAAAGGTTTTCCTTGTAAATCACTTGTGCAATCTTGTTCTAATTTCGACAATTACTTTATCTACAACACCACAACCTCTCATTTAAGTTGGTAAATATTCACTCAATTGATTTTTGACCAAAACAGTAACATCCTTCTACAAAAATAATCAACAAGTTAAACTATATAAATGTATACATTTCATGGAGAAAGCTGAAGATAAAGCGTTCGTTTGTCAAGAGGGCAAAATTCCAACAATTAGGAAATACACATTCAATTATTATTGATATATAGACAATATGGTTAACTTTTTTAATTACTATAATAATTCTAGTATATAAAAAATGACAGTAAACTTCTAAAAGCGTTGCAAAAAATATTTGCATAAATATGATATTGTGAAGGTGTATGAAGGAAAAATATGACATTAAGAAATTAAACTGAATAAATATGATATTTTTGTGTTTAAAAGTAATATATAAGAAATTCGGTGAGGAAATCGAAGATGATAATAAAAACTTATAAAAAACAATATTTCATGTAGTTTAGAGAAATCTTATATAAAAAATACCACTAGTTTGCAATAAGAATAATGATTTTGAGGTGGTTGCAACTAGGGGTGAGCGCAGTGCGGTTCGATGCGGTTATTGGTCAATACCTCACCACTAACCGCAAATGCGGTTAATCCATTTTCAAAACCGCTTGGTGCGGTTATTTTTGCGGTGCGGTTAGGCGGTTATTTTTGTGGTGTAGTTTTGTTTTTTTTTTAGTTTCGGTTATTAACCGCATGGATTTGGTGCGGTTATTTTGTTTAGTTTTTAACCGCAATTTAGAGTTCAAAAGGTTTTAAAAGTTCAAACATATTACTTGTAATAATAATAATAATAAATAAGCTATAAGACAATTAACTTAAATCACAAACAATTAATATCTTAAAAACGTGAAATCACTAGTAATTAACAATAAATATCTTAAAATTGTGAAATTTCACAATTTTCCAAAGTTAAACATAACAAAAAACCAACACTTTTGTCTTTTAGAATTTTATCCTTCTTTCATCCATAAAACTTATTTTATTTTAAATATTTAATATATTAATAATGAATAAAAAAATTGTATATAATATATGCGGTGCAGTGCGGTTTTTTTGCGGTTTTTGAAAACTAAAAAAACTACACCACACCATAAATTTGCGGGTTTTGAAAAACAGAAAACCTCATCATCAGTTTTTATCAGGGGCGGAACACCAACACTGGAACTGGGGGGCCGGAGGCCGAATTGAAAATTATATAAACAAGTTTTATGTGGTTCAAAATTATGACATATCAAAAATCTAAATAAGAAAACAAATATAAAAACAAGTTCTTTCAAAGTACAATAGAAGCGAGTTCGTAAAAACTTATTTTCTCTTTTCTTCCGTTACATTTTTTAAAGAGGCTTATTTTTTAGTCATACTAACTTACTTTCCTTTGATATTAGGGATTATTTTAGTGTTCCTATTTACACTTTACAACTAAATAAACAAATAACAAGTATTAAGCATCTAGATATTTCAAACGCCAAAATTGATTTATACTATATACGATAAAGTAATAAATAAAAAGTAAATTGTTTAATTCAATAAGGTAGCAGGTGTCGGCTTTACAGGGGATATAGTCTCTTTCATAAAGCTATAGGATTAATCACAATTTTCTTCTCTTCTTTTATGCGTTATAACCGAGAAAAATAATTGAGATAGAAAGAAAAAGAGACAAAGAGGCTACCAACAATGGGACTTCCAAAAAACTGGCTCCGACGATCGGCGAAGAGGATAGAGAGAGCAAACAGGTATGGATGGGACGAACAATTCGGCGATCGGAAATCATATGAAGGTGGCAGCAATGTAGCGGATGACATTGTTCTTCAGGTGAGCTACAAGAGTTTTCCCCGACGGCTAGAATAAAATTTTGGCTTTACATTTTATAATTTTCTTGACTTCAAAGTTAAATCATTGTAAAATTGATTGGATTGGATCTTTGGATTTTTATATATTTTATAAGTATATAGTTACCTTATTTATAGATTCCTAAAAAATAGAAGGTTAGTTTTGATTTGTTATTCTGTTTAATGATTTCCGAAACCTTTGTCATTGTTTATTCATTGTTTTAGTTATTAACTAATTGCATAAATTAGATGTATTACGTGCACAAAAGTTCTGAAAACTGGTGGACTAAAACTGGAGGACTAATTTGACATTCTAGCAATATTCATATACAGATGTATTAGGAGCTTAAAAAACGGGGGGACCATGGCCTCCCCTGGCCCCTAAGAGGGTCTGCCACTGGTTTTTATTGCGGTTACGGTTTATGCGGTTAGTTTTAGTTGTGGTGCTGTGTTTGCTCACCTCTAGTTGCGACGTGAAAGTAGTGATTATTTCGGTAAAAAAAAAATAGAAAGTATGATATTTTATTAAATTCTTCAGCCAAAATGGTATTTTTGTCATTTTTTCTTAAATATACTGGATGCCCCACAAAATTCAAGTTCTGAGAAAAAAAAATTAAAAATTAAAAATTAAAAAATAATAATAATAATAACGAACATTTAGACTTTGTAATCAATGATTAATGGATTCTTTTTGTTCATGGAAAATTATTATTATTATTATTATTATTATTATTATTATTATTATTATTATTTTATCTTTAGAACTTTTTCTGAAAATATTTGTTTTTTGTCTATCTTTATAATTCTGAATCGAGTCATTAGTTTTGAGTAGAACGACTTTTTCCTAGTCGAATATGAACATGGTGGCCGATTATTTTTTAACCCGAGCGTAATCCATGCTTATAATTTAATAACCGAGTCAACCTCATATGCCTTTAATTATAAACAATGCATGGATATTCCCCACTTTGTTACTTCTTCTTGTTTTTTATTGACAAATCCAAAAAGCTTATAAATTTGCTTGCTTAACGACTCACACAACAAACACCAACACCAAATGGGTTCTCAAGCACCTCTTGGACTCCCCACCATAGATTTCTCCGACGTACACAAGTACAACCGAGGAACCCTTGTTTGGGACTCAACAAAAACACAAGTGTTGGAAGCCCTCCAAGATTATGGATGTTTTGAAGCATCTTTCAATAGGGTTTCACCTGCTATTCGAAAATCAATGTTCGCTTCATTGGAACAACTTTTTGATTTTCCATTAGAAACAAAGGTAAGAAACATCCCTGACAAAATCTTTAATGGTTACATCGGACAAGCCAAAGAGATCCCAATCTATGAAAGCTTGGGAATTGAAGACCCTGAAAGCTTCAGTAAGCTCATGTGGCCCCACGGTAACACTGAATTCAGGTATGTAATCTAGTGTAATTTATTAGTTGCTCACAACTTAAATTTCATAATCACTCGTAGTTCTCACTTTATGTCTATATAGAAGACATTGTTTTAACCATGGTAATTAAGTTCTATATATAAACTTAAGGTTTGACTTTGTGTTTATGAGGGAAAAAATAGTCAAAGCTTGATCACTTGTCAATTGCAAGAAATATAATTCCCTCCCATTGACTAGTTTTCCTTCTAATGTCGACCTGATTTTTGTTTCGTGATATCTTGTGAAATTAATTTGTAATTACTATGAAATATATATCAGCAACAACATACAAGTCTATCGGGAGAAGTTAAGAGAGGTAGACGAAATTGTGAGGACGATGGTTTTGGAGAGTCTGCATATGGAGAAATACATCGAGGAACACATGGAGTTAACAAGTTATCTAATCCGGGTTATGAAATATAGAGCACCCGAGAAAGACGAATCCAATATGGGACTACTAAGTCATGCCGATAAGAATATGTTGACAATTTTGCATCAAAATGAAGTTGAAGGGCTTCAGGTGCAAAAGAAAGATGGAGAGTGGATCAAAGTGAAACTTTCATCAAACAGTTTTGTTGTTATGGTCGGAGAAACCTTCCGGGTAACTTTTCAAATCTATCATATATATAACTTCTGTTTTTAGAAATACACCATATGTTTATAACTAAACAAGAAAGCCTTATGTTGGTGACCAATATGAACCCCATACAATTTATTTTCAAGATTTTTATTGTTATAAATTGTCCCTATATGGCTATATACTTTTTCATTTGAGTATCTGTTTAACTCTTAGTAACTTAATATTATAAAATTTTCTAATAGTTAATGTTTAGATTTATTAATTCGTATGTACATGTTTATATTCTTTTTGTTATAACGGTTATCTGTGCTTCTACTTGCAATTTTTTTAATATGCCCGTAATAATATGGATACAGGTTTGGACAAATGGCCGATTGCATGCAGCGACTCATAGGGTGGTTATGAGCGGAGATAAAAACCGGTTTTCAATTGGGTTTTTTTCGGTTCCAAAATGGGGGAAAATCCTAAAAGCCCCTGAAGAAATGGTAGATGAAGAACATCCATTACTCTTTAAACCTTTTGATTTTGGAGAATTTATGAAATTCTTCTCTCGTAAAGAAAATGTGAATGATAAATTTGGGCTGGAAAAATATTGTGGCGTGTCTTACTGAAAATATTATGTAAGTTGGCAAGTAAATTTCAAGTATAAAGAAAACGTTTGTATCTATAATTTTGCTAATTATATTTTCTGTAAATAACCCATGGTTTTTAAGGAGAAAATATTGTAAGCCTTTTGTTTTACTAAAGTTTAGTAATAGCATTGGTGACGCTTCTTGCGTTGCTAAGATGATTTCATGTGCCAATGGCCTCTTTTTTTATGGTTATCAAATGTATTTCTAGCAATCTTTATGTCGTTCATTTTATATTTTTTCAGGGAATATACGTTGATTTCAAAAGCCTTATGTGAAAAATAAAAATAGGCCGCCAAATACAAATTTATATAAAAGCAAAATAAATTTTAGGGTGGGAATTGTCATGAGGGGAAACTAAAAGTAAATCAAATTTATTAAAAACAAACAAATGCAAATTTTTAAAAGTTAAGGGGCAAAAATACAACTTTTAGAAACTGATTTATAAAAATAATTGAGGGGAAGGTTAGATTTTGAATCATGGACTATAAATCAGGGTCACGAAATATAACTTAGGAAAATGTCACCGGAAATTGATACGTCGAATAAGACAAAATATTTATTAAAATTGGAAAAATGCAAATTTATAAAAGTTTAAGGGATTCAAAATGTAACCTTTTGAAGATGACTTGTAAAATGAATTGAGAGGATGGGTAGATTTTGTAGCATGAAGTATAAATCAGGTGCTTAAAATGTAACTTACGAAAATGTACTCATAAATTTACACGCTACATCTCCATCTCCATCTCCATTAAAAGTCTTTCTTACAAGCCACATGTCCATCTTTTAGAGCAGCCTTCGGCCACGTGGCATTCTCTTCAATAATTCTATATATTTTCTTTTACCAATTAATCATTCAATATCAAATCTATAACCACTTCTTTTGTTTTCCACTCAAGAAATTTAGTCTTCATCTGTTTCCTAATTTTTCTCAAATCACCAATGCAATCGCAATAAATTAGGAAATCACTTATGTGTATCTCTCCTAATTTACAGTTTTTATTTGTGTAGATCGTGTGTCGCCTGCAATTGTAATTGTTTTGTTTTCTATCTCCCTTACATGATCATTGTGCTTCCTATCCCACAATTTGTGTATGTGTTCAGATTTGTAGAAAGGGCAAACTAATAGATTATGAATACATCTTCTTATCTTATCCATTCTCTTCTTTGTCAAACAATTGATATGGTTCATGTTTTCCTAAGGTTTATTAACAACTACGTGATGGTCTCATAAACGATCCTCCATCCACCAATGCCTTTTTGTTTGTTCCTAATCTCCTTTGACGATTCTGTGTATAAAGTGATTAAAATTTGTATTGAGGTACGTCCAGTCCACTGCTTCACATACACATATATACATACACCAACACAGTATAATGGTGACGATTTGAATTTAAATACATGGTTAATGAGTTTTGCTTTTTATTCAATTTACTTTTTCGATTAATTAAAAAAAATTGTGTTAATTGGACAAGTGGTTTTAATTGGTCTGGAGAAAAGCTTTTTTTTTTTAAAGTGAAGAAAGCAAATCTTTTTTACCACTATAAGTAAACAAACCTCATCTTTTTACATTCCATGGTTTTACCTCCACGGTTTCCTCTATGAACCCTACAATAAAAATAATATTGTCCAAAGGTTGATAATCATCGTTTTATTCAACATTCTCTGGTCAAATGGGATTTTTTTTACATTTTCTATTAAATGTTTTGGCATCCAAGTTGCATCTTCTGTTTTGTTAATGTCATTTGAGATAAATGGATAAAGTTGGTTTTGTTTAAAGGGGAGATGGAGTGTACCATATAACATTTTCTATTAAATGGTTTTGTTTTAACATCCAAGTTGCATCTTCTGTTTTGTTAATGTCATTTGAGAAAAACTTATTTTCACTTAATCTTTTTTCTAAAATTGTGTTTGATTTGTACAATATAACATCCTACTATCACCTCTTTGCCACGTGTCATCTTGAGAAATCATCATTGGTAGTTTTTTCCCAGTAAAATGCATAAACTAGCAAATGTATTGTCCATTTTCCTCTTATTATTGTAATGTACCTTCATTTCCTTATTACAACAATGTACTTTTAAGATTATTTTGTTAGAGCTTAGTACTTTATCAAATATTGTTTCATTTAATGGTATAAAACCTACCATCATATTGCAAGTGGTGGATTGGAATACAAAAAGGCTTGAAAATTTATGAGTTCTCTTTTTATGCTTTTTAATGCTATCTGTCTTGCATTTTTTACTACATAAAGTTCTTAATTGCATAATTTCTTTTTTTTTTGCATGTATTTGTTGTCCTTTAAAAAGGAAACATTCATGAAACTAATTTTTTAAAAACTCAAAGGTAGATGCTATATTAGAAACTAAATTTAATATTTAGAAAATAGTTAATTGCAAAACTCGATGTAACCTTTGTTCTGACATTAACTCCACCAAAAGTTAATTTTCACAAAATAGCAATGTACTTTCATTTTTATGTCAAATATTACATCATACTTTATTTTTTATTTCCATTTATGTATTATTTTTTTTGCAGGGATCATTTAAGACCTCTTTTTTGTTAATTATTTTCCTACAAGGATCGTTTATGTACACAATTATTTAGCTAAATATTATTCTTCATACAACTCTCTTACAAAATTTTATGCTTCATCCCATATTAATTAAGCCTTTGTTTTTTTCTTTTTCATATATTATTTTAATGTTTGAGAATGATTTTAGAGAATAAAAATTTAACTATATAATTTAACAGGACCATATAAGTGGTATTTATGAATACCTATTATATGAAATTTTTATATGTTCATAGAGGCTAACCTTCAAAATTATAAATAAAAATAGATTGAATGAAAAAGCACATGTATAATGTCCCATGTATCTTGATAAAATTACTTATTTATTCACATAGTAATAATTATGATTTTTAAATACCAAAATTAATTTAATTTTTTAACTGTGGTGCACACAGGTTATAATCTAATTAGATAAATATTTGAAGGGCTAGGGCAATATACGGGTGGTATATATTTAGCAATGTTAGTAAAACTTTTGACTAGGTCCCGATTAATCTTCGATTAATCCCTAGGCGCTACTAGATCGACTAGAGAGCGCTTAGCGATTAATCCCTGCATACTTAATGAGTGAAACAGTATAAAATGATCAAATTTAAACACTTTAAAGAATATCTATCTCAATAGAAACTATTTGAGGTATAATTAATATTGTATTAATCATATTAACTTTTTTGTTATGATATTAGTAATATTTATAAACTTTGATAAGATATTAGCAATTAATGTGCCAACTCATCAATCATGTGTTAGCGGCCGTTTTAGCGGACATGCTGATGTAAGGGAAATCCAAAAGTCGTGCCATGATTTGAATTTTCATTTATGGGAACAAGGCCTTTTCGGAATTTCCACTTTCAAAATCATTGATCTATCCTCCAGCTTTGCATATGCTGAAACAGTATCCATTGGAAGTACGACCAAGATCCGTTCTTCAGAAATAAAGTAACCAATCGGAACCGAAACCAGACTTTTTAAAATCATAAGGATTTTAGTGCAAGAGTGTGACAAAGAAAAAGAAATAAAGAAAATTTAATGTGTGGGATTCTGTGATATCAAACAAGTTTGATATGAAAAGCAAGTGGATCTCGGGCAACGATCTCTTCTTTTTGAATCAAGAGAGACTCTGAAGTGCTTGTGTGGTTTCCCGTTGAATTACGATCATCAGTTTGTTAAGAAACTATGAAAGGCTTCTTTTATAAGGCTTAAAGGGTGGTTTCAGCTTCTAACAAATTCCAAAACTTAACATACGTCCAAAGATTTGTAAGAAGTACCTGTTTCACCAGTGTAGCCATAAAAACAAGTAAGCTTTGGATAGTCTTTTAAAGTAGTTGGGTATTTTGGAAAATCTTCATTCGGAAATCTCAAGAAAAATAAAAAACTGGATCTTTTGGGAAGAAATGACTTGGGCCAAAAACATTTAATTAAGATCACACAAAATAAAAAAAAATGAGATTTCGAATATTCAAGGTACAAACAAAAGTATTTATCTGTCAAGTCAGTTGGTACATTACTAGAACAATGAATTGTTCACCTTCAAATCATTGGGTAAAAGTACATAACAAGAAATTGTTCACTGTCAATTCAGAATAGGTATTCGGAGTATTGGGTTTCACTCAAAATCATGGTGATAACGATTTCAAGATCATAAACACAAATGTTTTGTAACCTAAACCTTAGTGGTAAAACCTGAGAGTCTTAAGGGTTACGATGCGGAATAATAGATTGGGAGTCGAATGGTTAGGAATTTCACGAAAATCATGTTGACAATGATTTTGCGATCATTAACTAGAGTTTTTGTAGCCCTATACCGAAGCTGGTTTTTTTCCAATAATCAAGGGACTAAGTGGAAGTTGTAATAAGATATGGTAGAAAGAAGTGATAACGACAACCGTCAATTCCTTGTTGCAGACTAAAATTCATTAATGAATTTATCATCAAGTCTTTGAAATAAAATATTTTGGATGTTTTTGATTTTGAAAAGAAAATACAGAAATAAATAAAATATTTTTGGAATTTTGTTTTTCTGAAAAGAATAAAACATAAATAAAGAAAAGAACAAAAGACTTACAAAGAGAAAAGATTTCGAAACACTAATGAATAGTTACTTCATAACCATTCTGAAGATCGGAACAAGTCGGAATTGAACAGTTGATTATGATAGCTACCAAAGATCGGAACAAGTCAGAATTTAACAGTTGACTATGATAGCTTCCGAAGATCGGAGCCATTTGGAAATGAACAGTAAAATCCAACAATTTCTGAAGATCGGAACCATACGGAATGCTACAGTCACCCTGACGATTACCATGTGGATTTCGGAACAGATTCAACTTCGATCATTCCCAAGCCTTGTTGAATCCGATTGAATGATACTTCTGGTAAGGCCTTCGTAAAGATATCTACTAACTGATCTGAGGATCGAACAAAGTGAACTTCCATATTACCATCTT